TTATTTCTGTTGGTACATATGATATATGTTGATATAACATGCTTTTAAAGTACCCATGTTATGCTTTGGGGAACCCTCATTTTTTACTGCCCTATTTCAGCATGTTTAACTGCAATAATGGAACCAGTTTAGACACCAAACACTAATCTCCTCATAAATTCAATCACCATGATGCATGTTTAGCTGTGTCCACATACGACCAAGTTTACACTGAAAAAATACCCAATAATCCCTGGAAGGAATGTTAAGGTCAAACACCAGGAGTGAGAGAGTAAGCCAAATTTGATTTCACTTTATGTCAAAAAAAGTATAGAGTCAGTGACTCAGAGCTGGCTATACACTGTGACTAATCTTAGACTACCATAAATTAAAAGTTTGCAACAACTATAAAACTGCTTCCATTCCGAACAATGAATCCCTAGTTCTTACTCACCTCTCATCCTCAAACAATTCATGTGGACACAGATAAAACAAATTTACCTAATAAGTATTATAATTTACCTAATAAGTAATATAAACATATACCTTGACCCCAAACTTAATTTTAAAGATGAAAAAATTAAAATATTATTTAATTTGTAATTAATATTTTATTTTCATATAAATGACTTTTCTCAATTAAAATAATTTTTACATTTTCTCAGTAGAAAATATTTATAATTTTGCCTGATGGATGTGCAGAAATAATATACAGCAGTGGAGTAAACATCTTTGTGGAAAACAATACATTTTAGAAGAAAACAACTCATTTCTTCCTTCAACATTTAAGTGCCTCCAACACCTCAGATCTTCTGCTAGAAATTTTGAATAAAACAAAGACAAACACATTGTGTTTCGTTTCTAGACAAGACAAACACATCGTGTTTGTCTCTAAAACTCTTTCCCTACAAGCAAAGAGTTTAGAGAGAAATTGGGTGGTTTCCAAACTTCAGCATTAACAACTTCTCTGCCTTGCTTTTGGAGTTCTGAACTTTTCTCATTTATTTCAGAATTATTGTCCCTTTTTTTTTTTATTTGCCAGTTACCTAAACTTCAGCTTTTGTCCAATGATTGAGACCATTTTACCTGTGCTAGACCACCCTGATGCAGACCACCTGCCTGGATTTGAACATATTTTATTCTTGCAGACTCTGCATAGAAATGATCTGCTTCCCTCCCACTGGGAAAACACCTGTCACCTTTTGAAGGACTTGTCTGACACTGTTTGCTTATCCTCAAAAGTTCCTGAGTAATCTAATCCAGTCAGTCCCCAAACTTAAGAGTGTCAGAAACACTCAGAGATGCTTAGATATATGTGGATTCAGAGACTTCACTACTTGAGGTTATGATTCAGAAAGCCTGATTTGAAGTTCAGGAACCTATAATTTTAAAGTTTGACATGTTCTTGAAAGTTTTAATGAAGACCCCACATTTAAACTGGGATTTGAAGAATAAATAAACCTGTGTGTAACATCAAATAATATAGGTAAATGTAACAAAGAACCTAATGGCAAGATGTGTCAGGTATGTTTAAATATGAGAATTTACTCAATTATTGGCCCACAGTAGGTGTTTAACTAATACTTGCTAAAAATGAATAAATTCAATCTATTGTGCTGAATGAATAAAGTCTGGGCGGATGCATCAGCTGTATGAGGAGGAAGCAGTGGAGGAATTAGAATGAAAAGCTAGAGAAGAGACAAATTCCAACTGGTGACAAATTCTAGAATATATTTTGTAGGGAATGAGATTAAGTAAAACACTTGAAATATAAAGTTACTCCTACATATTGTGCTTCTCATCCTCACCTTTATGTTTCACAGACCCAAATCTTTATGTCTGGGCCTTACTCTTCAGATAATAAACTTCGACTGAGAAGGCATATGACATCTAAATTGTATGTAAGAACAATCAATTAAAATGAGTAGATGGACAGACAGGCCGCCTATGTTAGGGTGTTATGGCTTAGATATGAGGTGTCCTTCCCAAAGCTCCCATGACAATGCAGGAATGTTTGGAAACAACATGAATATATTGTGAGAGCTTAACTAATCAGTGGATTAATCCATTTAATGGATTAATTATTTTTATAGATTACTGGGTGGTAACTACAGGTGGCATATAGGGTATGACTGGAGGAAGTAGGTCACTGGGGCATGCCCTTGGGGATTATATAATCATGAACCCAAAATAAAGTTTTCCTCCTCTAAGTTGCTCTTGTCAGGTATTTTGGTCACAGTGATGAAAAGCTGACTAACATAGCTACTGAGGATATCATTACAGGATGTAACAAGAGTCTAATACATAATGGTGACAGTCAAGATTGAAAAGAAGGGGTAGGCAGGCATGGCTGTGCATGACTGCAATCCCAGCAGGCCTGTATTCCCAGCTATTTGTGACACTGAGGCAGGAGGATTGCAAATTTGAGACCAGCCTGAACAACTTAGTGAGGCCATGCCTAAAAAATAAGGATTAAGAATGTATGTAGCTCTAAGGTAAAACACCCCTGGATTTAATCACCAGAGAAGAAAGAAAGAAAGAAGAAAAGAAAGAAGGAAGGAAGGAAGGAAGGAAGGAAGGAAGGAAGGAAGGAAGGAAGGAAGGAAAGAAGGAAGGAAGGGGGGAAGGAGGGAGGGAAGAGGAAAGGGAAGGGAAGAGGAAAGAAAAGGGAAGAGGAAAGGGAAGGGAAGGGAAAGGAAGAGAGGAAACTTAAGAGCCATAATAGGAATTGAACTGATAAGATCTAACAATATATAGAAGAAATAAGGGAAAAAATCACATAAACAATGAGGCTTGGGATCCAACTTAGTATCAAGAATAAACACAGAAAAATGAGGAAAATGACATTTCATGTAAAAGGAATATTTTTAAATCCTTGAGGGTAATATGCTAACCCAGTTCCCAGCTAAATTTTTCCAACAATTTGTATGAATGAGAAAGAGACAGAAATAGAGGATAAAATGTAAGAGAGAATAGAATAAATGGATGTAGTAATGTTGGAGACATGACATTAAAGTAAAAATGAATAGTTAGATCCCTGAAAAGAGGAAGGTGAGGACATCCTGAGAGAACATATCTAGAGGGCTTAATAAAGATAAGGGTGAATTTTGATGTGAAGGACACCATTAGGTTATTAGTAAAAGAAATAATAATATCAGATATAAATGAGAGAATGTGTAGACTAGGTTTAGAATGGGAGCAAAACATTCTTAAGGAAATGGGCAGAATTTCACCAAGAGACACACTGAAGATGGTGGGACAGCTGGGACAGTTATAAAGATTAATTCATTGCTGAACAAGGTAGAATAATTTCTGTTTTTTCCTAACAATATCCAGCAGAGATCAGATTGAGGAAAACAATCAGTGGGACCTTCTCCATTAGCAACCCTCCTAGAAGACAACTCACAAGGACATAGTTTGAGACCTAAGAAGCAGGAGATGGTGTCATTGACATGTAGACATTCCTGCCTGGAAAGAGAGCATGTGAAAGTGAAAGGACAATTTCACTGGAAAGATGAGAAGGAAAGGATGCACACCTAGATATTGAAGCCAGAGAGGAGACAGGCCGTGACCTATAACTCTGGGTTTACAGTTTCAAGGGAAGAAACATGAGCAAAATTGGGGACACAGATTTCACAAGAGGGGACAGGTTAAAAGAGGTTTCTAACATAAGGGGACTGAGGTTTACAATAGAAAGGGATTGCATTGTATGTGCCAATTTCCACAATTCCTAATAGGGCTGGCCATCCGGGGAAGAGGTATTATCAGGAAAGAATCAGGTTTTAATTTAGGTGAGCAAGCAAGAAATGGTAGAAAGTAGAAGGAAGAGGGAGATTATGATAGGAAGGAGAACCATAAAGGAGAATGAGTTTCTTCTAAACTAGAGCTTATGACCCATTCTGTTATGCAAGTAGATGAATAAAGGCAAAAGAAAATAGATAAAAATAAGTCTGATCCTGCAGCCAGGGAAGCATCTAAAATTATTCTACATAAATATTTTTTTAGTGATGTAAATTATTTATTTCAATATATGTTCTTTAAAAAGCTTTCAAATGTTCAAAATGTTGTAAATCTCAGGCTTAAGATAATGGGTCTCAACTGGAATTATTAAATAGTAGTCATATGATTTTTTAAACCATAATTGCTTGAATTAATATGTATATGAAATACATTAGCATATAAAATTATTTATAAAACATTTAATATAATTTCTCAAAGCAGGAATTTTGAGCTGTAGTGATCACATAGGGAGGTAGAATATGCTTAAGGTTGTAGAATCTTCTCAATACAAAATTTCATATGTCTTTTAATGAGATAGCTTGCTTTTTTACTAAATATACTTACAAGTATGGCACAGTAGGATAAACATAATTGCAATTAGTGATTTGCTTTTATAATAGAGCACCTTCTTTTTACAATTAGAGGAATATTTTCAGAAATGCATTAGTTTGTTACCTTAAGTATCTGCAGTTGTTTCTACCAGTGGATAAGCAAGCTGGTGGTACGTAGGAGAAAACTGTCATTTAAAACTTTATTAAAAATTCCAACCAGGCCAAATTATAGTGAATATCCATTGGTCATAGATCTTCCCACTGAATTAAGATATAGTTTATGTATGCCAGTGAGTATAGTACACATGAATTCTAGGATCAACTTTATTGTCAACCATATTAGCTCTGACCTGACACTGTACTTTAATTCTTCACCTTCTTTTTCTACAAAAATAATTTTTAAAGAATAACCCAACTGAGAAGTTTGCAAGTTCATTCCTTCTTTTAAATTATAATAATTTACATTTACAGAAACATAATAAGGTAGATTTTCTTTTTTTCCCCTCCATTCAGTCTCCCAGTGCTGTGGACAGGTTCACTGTGCCACACAGCTGGACTCAGGTAGCAAAAGGCTAGGGCTGCACTTGCCGCATTTTTAATATTTGTTCCATGTGGGTAGATAAAAGTGCTGCAGCAGTAAACAGCACTGACTAGTGCACAACCTCGTCCACCAGTGCTCCCACGAGATACCTGTTTCAGGTGGTGTGCTCACACTACAGGTGCTCTCACTGCCTTCTCCAGCCGATGTCGCAGCTCTTATTTTGAAGACGTATGAGGTGTTTGCAAGAAGCTTTACAAAAGTGTATGTGTGATTTTGGGGAGAAGCTTTTGTAGAATTCCTTTCCACCATTATTATATAATGCGTAATTATTCCATTTGCTTTCTTGGGAGGATCCCATGTCACTAAAACTGACTGCCAGTTGCTTGCCATACACTGCAGATTCTGTACAACATCTGGAACTTAAGAGATAAACATATGTCCAAAGTTAAAATTGATACCTAGCATAAAATAGAGTAAATAATTTAATTATATAATGGTTAGATGAAATCATGTTTAGGAGTGCAGAAAGAATAAAAATTTGAAGGATCATCTTTTCAATGCTCACAAAGCTCTTTAGATAGGCCGAATCAAATGCTATTGGCAGACTTTCTAAGCTATCTTGTTAATGCTTAAAATACTGAACCAGTCACTGAATATTTGCCAAGGTATAAGAAGCAATTACATTCTCGGATTCTCAGAAGCAACTGAAGCCCAGGTAGTAGTTTTGATGTCTGTTTTCTTAATCAGAAAGGTACAATCTTACAGTATCTTATTATGCAAAATATAGATATAGGTTCCTCCATAATGGGACACATTCAGGTTTTACAGTACTGGAAAACCCATAATCAATTTAGGGGACTTGGTTTTATACTGGGATTCTTCTTTGGAAGAATCCTGAGAACCTAATTCTTAAGCTTTTTGGAAATCATCGATGGAGATATTTAAGCAGTCCCATGTTGTTGTGTGTTTTTCCCCCATTAAAACCTCTCTGAATTTTCTTGAACTCAATTTCTCAATAGTCCACTATATCTAGTTGACCTAGATGAGAAATAATACTCAAGTCTTTTAAAGTGACTGCATATTGGAGACCGGTTACTCCTCATGGAAATGTCCAACAATGTACCCTAACAGTATTAATGGTATAACTTTTATCATTAGAGTAAAAAGAGAATAGTAGCAGGAAAATTAGTATATAGTTAATGTATAGATTGCAAACTCTAAGTAGCAAAATAATATAACTTCTTGTCATTAGGTAATTTTCAAATAATGATTTCAAGAATACTCAAGTAATCTGTGACTTGCCTACAATTCTTCCTGATGGCCTAAATTTATCTCTTATAAACTTTTCTTCCTCTGTAAGATAAAGACATCAGTAAAGAAGAATAAAGTTAGGAATGTTTGAATGAAGAAAAGATCATTTCTAGGATGATTAAGGCCTCAGTTCATCTGAAAAATCATAGAAAAGCTCAGAGGTCAGATTCAAATTTAGACACTGATTCAGAGCTTCCACTATGAATACTATTTATTTGACTAGTTTTATAGGAATGATATTTTTTTAAAAAAAGACTCAGGTGTTCATAAGTTAATTCAAAAATTATTAATTCATCAGTGAGAGGTCTCTGGTTTCAATTTAGAGATTCACTAAAAAGAAAAAGTGCATCCAGAGGTGCTAAAAAGAAATGACTGGAACAAGAATTTGCACTCATTCAATTATCATTGACACAAGATAAAAGGATGAGGAAGAAATGTCTTTAAATATAAGGCTCAGCTGGTAGAAATAAAATTATACTTTAAGCCACCATTAAGTAGGTCAAAAATAAAAACTGTTGAGTCCCCACACAAAGACAAAATGCAGCACACACTGGCACCGGACCTGCAGTAGGTAAATTGCTGGTGAATTAGGCCAGAGAGGTATTTCATAGTCCCTGAAATGTTACAGTGGTACTGTGGGAAAATAAAGGGCTTATGTAGTGACTCCTTCTTCTCAAATGTCACACTAAATCATTAAAGAAAATCATAGAGATGTTTCATAAAAATCAAAATCATCATAAATCTTAGAACATAAAAACTTAAAAGTGACTGCTAGTAAATTTCTCCCCATCTTCCCAACTATTTCAAATAATCCTAAGAATTAAGTAATTTTCACAGATGTCCAGAATCTTACTTTGTTACAAAACTAGTCTTATTTCAAATTTCACAGCT